GAATTCATTATTTTTTTGTGTGTGCCACGCCAAGTTTTTCTCTTCTGGCCATCTCTAAGAAAATTTTCTGGGGGCGCCACTGCCTAAAATGAAGACGTGGTAAAGTGCAGACGATAATTAAAAATATTTAAGACTCTTTCTTTATCGTGAAACTTTTCAGAGTATTTAGAAATATCTGGTTCAAGTTAAAATGCAAGTATACGAAGTTGAATATGACACCACCAAAACAATTTAAAAATGTACTTTAAAAATGTAAAACAGTCAAATAAAAATCATAGGCAAAACATTTAGAATAGTTTATTATAACACATTCTCAATTAAAAAATAATGACTGATTTAGCATAGTCGGTGATTATTTGTTATCATGTGTGTTTTATTAAGCTGGAAAGGTGTATAATTCTTAAGTGTTTAGGCTTCTATTGAAAACCAACAATATTTTTGCGTGTGGGAAGAAAATGCATTTATATTGTCGTAAACATTAAATTTATTATTCACATATCTATAAAGTTTGCTTTCTCTAAAGTTTTTGCTTTGTATATATATATATATATATATATATATATATATATATATATATATATATATATATATATATATATATAGCCAAATTATGCAATGAAAAAAAAACATTTTGAATAAGAATTTGTGTGTGCTCAGTTGTGAAATTAAAGAACAACAACCATAAGCATCTTCCTTAAACGATGATGTGCATTTTTATGATTGTAAGGTAATGTTGTGTCTTTCATCTATATTCTGAAGTAATGTCTCCAAGCTATTTCTCACTATATTGTAAATAAGCTTGTTTGAAATAAATATTTAGGAAAACACAGACATATTTATGTTAAATTGAAAAAAATTGGAGAAATACTTCTCCATATTGTCTTTTTGTCCAATCGACATTTTTAAAATCAACATTTCGAGAAAGTCTATTCATACAACACAAATTAAAGTGTAATGCAGCACTAATGCTGTTCACTTTCAGTTTTGTTTTTATTGTCACCTGCATAAGTTTGCATGCACAAAAAAAAGTGTACATTTTCCCTAAACTGACTAACGCCGAGAGTTTTCAACTCTGTAAGTCCTGTAATTCCAACACTTTACACATTTGCTTGTGCAAGTAGTATTTTTCTTTTCTCATGGAGATTTATTCACTCATCTATGACACTAGAGGTCACCACTGTTCGCAAAACCCCATATGGTAAATATTACTGTAGCCTGTAAAAAAAAACTAATTTTACAGAAAATATCCCAATTTTTTTTACAGTAATTTTTGGTCTTATTTTTTGTCATCATTACTTGTAGAACTTAGTAAAATGACAAAAAAATCTCTCTAAATTAACAGTTTGACTTTCATTTTAGGTACTTTATCATTAAAGACAAATTACTGACATTTTTTATACAGGAAAATTACAGAATTATTTATACAGTATTTTTCTGTTATTTTAAAATATATCTAAAAGTCCTTAAAAATTACAAACAATATCTGTAAATTAACAGCTTGACTGTTATTTTATGTACTATATAAGTAATGACAAATTGCAATAATTTAATTTTAATTTTTTTAATTTAATTTTAAAGTTGTGAGAACTTTAATCAGTTGTATCTCTCATATATTGTTTTTTCCAGACTTTTTTGATCCAAAATAAAACTGTTAAATTACAACCCTGAGCATGCCTTGGCATTTTGTTTAAGGTCTTTAATCGTAATGATTTAGGGAAAATTCTTTTAAATAACATTGTTTTCTCTTAAACTTTTAGTGCAGGCACTTTATTAATGGTGTTCGATCATAATAATCTAGGAAAAGTCTGTAAAATAACAGTGTTTCCTTGTAAAACTCTTAGTGTTTTACTTTATTGAACAAGTTTGATCGTAATAATCTAGTTTCTCTATAAACATTTTAATGAAAATATCTGTAGATTTATTATTTTTTGCACTTTATTTCAATAAAGACATTTTACCATAGTTTTATGGTTTGTGTTTGGCAGCCGTAGCTGCCAGTCATTTGACCTTTTTTTTATTTTATTTTTTTTTACATTGTACTGAACAAATCAACAAACAACAACAAAGGTAGCTAAAACTTAGAGTTTAATGGTCAAGTTTTAGCCATTACAGATGTGATTTGTTATGTTGTGGTAGACTGTCTGTTGCTGCTTGGAGTTGTTGCTCATATCCATAAATTGAAGCAGTTCAAATAACTAAGCAGAATACTGATGAAATTAAAGCATCCATATGTTAGGTGGTTTGTGTGTATTTGGGTGACTATTTGACAGTTTTTGAGGTGGAAACCACATTGCATAACCTTTGTTATGCTATCCGAACCGGGCCCGTTTTACGGATTGTTTGAGAAGTGTGAGTGCATCTAGGTTGCGCTTATTTTACCAAAATCCATCATACCCAGACATGCTCAATAATGTTCATGTTTGGAGACTGGGCTGGCCAAGCACCTCGATCTTCTTTGTTTTCAGGAACTTTGATGTGGAGGCTAAAGTATGAGAAGGAGCACTATCCTATTGAAGAGTTTGCCCTCTCCTGTGGTTTGTAATGTAATGGGCAGCACAAATGTCTTGATACCTCAGACTGTTGTTGTTGCCATCCACTCTGCAGATTTCTCCCACACATCCATTTTGAATGTAACCCCAATCCATGATTTTTCCTTCACCAAACTTGACTGATTTCTGTGAGAATATTGGGTCCATGCCGGTTCCAATAGGTCTTCTGCAGTATTTGTGATGATTGGGATGCAGTTCAACAGATGATCATTAAAATGTACCCTCTGACACTTTTTCAAATGATCAACTAAAAGTCAAGTTATTATTTGTTGCTCTTACAACTGGGACTGACGACTTTTGTCAGGTAGCGTATTAATATTTGCTATTATAAAATAAAATTGTTCAACAAAATATATATTATACATCTGAAAAATTATGAAGTTGGTCCTGCAAAAAAAAAAATCACCTTGTAATTATCTTTTTTCATTATTGAATTATTATCATATGATATTTATTGATTAGCGACAACTGCTAAATTATGTAGTTGGATTACAAGTGATTATAATGTAATAAATGACTTAATAAATATCCTCCAACTTGTGTAACTGTCAGTTAAATGATCTTCGAAGTGTCTATACTAAAAACAATTCGACAAATACAGGCTACAAATAAGACAACATTGCTTGCACGAAACATTGTTTAATATTTTTCAGCATTTTGATACATGAACAGGTCACAAATTTGATCAAGATCATATATTGAAAAATATATATTGGTTATGACAATCTTTATCCTAATGCATGCAAAAAACTGTCTGCTACTACTGTAAAGATTAGAAATTTTTCAATATAATATTTTTTAGTAACTACAATGCTGACAGCGATTAATGGCTCATGAATGACTTCTAATCCAACAATGCTGTTCAAATCTGTATTTTCAGCTCAAATATAGAAATTCCGTTTTTTTTTCATCTTTTCTCTGACAAGTCCTTTTCTTTACATCCCAACCAGTATTTGCCAATAGATCTTGGGTAAGGAGGAGTTACTCGGTCAATCCGTTTCGTCTGAAGGTCCACTCTGTAGTATTTGTCTAGAAGAGAAATACCACAGAATTCAAATAACGAAAAATAATATTTAGGAGTTGATATGCACTATAAAAAATCTGTAATTTTACTGGGGTGCTGGAAATAAGTGTAAAATACAATAATGGCATTAAATGACCGTAAAATAACAAACATTAAATTACAGAAATTTACCATAAATAACAGACATTAAGTTACAGAAATTTACGGTAAAGTAACAGACGTAAAATTACAGAAATTTACCGTATAATAACAGACGTGAAATTACAGAAATTTACCGTAAATAACAGCTGTGAAATTACAGAAATTTACCGTAAATAACAGATGTGAAATTACAGAAATAAACCATAAATAAAAGACGTGAAATTACAGAAATTTACTGTAAATAACAGAAGATTACCGTAGAATAACAGACGTGAAATAACAGAAATTTACCGTAAAATAACAGACGGGAAATTACAGAAATTTACCGTAAATAACAGACGTGAAATTACAGAAATTTACAGTAAATAACAAACATTAAATTACAGAAATTTACTGTAAAATAAGACGCGAAATTACAGAAATTTACCGGAATAACAGACATTAAATTGCAGAAATTTACCGTAAAATAAGACGTGAAATTACAGAAATTTACCGGAATAACAGACATTAAATTACAGAAATTTATCGTAAAATAACAGTCATTAATTTACAGAAATTTGCCGTTAAAAAACTGACGTTAAATGACAGAAATTTACCAGGAATTTAAATTTAAGGAAATTTCAGTAATTTAATGTCCAATATTTTAAGGTCCAATATTTTATGGTAAATTTCAGTAATTTAACGCCAGCACCCCAGCTGCTGGGAAAAAATGTACATTTACAGATTTTTTTTTACAGTGTGACTTTTTAAAAAGTTTTTTTTTAAGTCTTTAATACTCACTGATCATAAATATTACATAATAAATGTTACAATTTGAACTATAACTATAAGGTAATAGTTTTATTTATGATGCAATGCTAATACTTTCACCAAATCTCCAGTATAAACCATTTCTGTTGTATTACAGTCCACCTTAAAGGGAAACTATAGCAGAAATATGTTTATATTATAAGGATTGACTATAACAGAATGAATTGATCATTATCTCTAGTACCTTTCTTGAAGAAGTAGACATTCTGCACAGGTGTGGCTTTCTCTTGAACAACCTCCACATCGACGTAATCCATCGGGTCGTAGCTCATGTCAAATAAAGATGGACGTCTTCCACGGCCTTTTTTCTGTTTTTTACCCTGTTTCTCTGTTCCAAAATACCTACAATAGAATTATTGCAATACGCTGTAAGGGTTCATGAATTTAATACACAAAGGGTCGGATGTTTAGACACATACAGTAGGAGGTAATATAATATAATATAATATAATATAATATAATATAATATAATATAATATAATATAATATAATATAATATAATATAATATAATATAATATAATATAATATAATATTTTGGGACCCTTGATAAATGGAATTAAGTTGCAATAACACAATTCAACTGGGTGAAAATGTGTATCGTAATTAAATTAAGCTTTTAAAATTAAGTATATTTGTTTTTTGACCCTCTCTTAAAGACATAATTCAACCACAAGCTTCTATAATAAAGTATATGTTTTGCATATCAAAATAACAGATGACGCTGTTGTGATGTACTCAACTAATTTGTGATGATTTTGGATGCAATTGTTTTCCCTACATTATAAGTGGATCTCAGAAAATATAATAAAATCAAATAAATGTCCTCTTTAACAAACCTTTCCTCATAGTCCAGTCCGAAGTCTTCCCAGAAGAGCGATCGACTCACCCTGGCTTTGCTACCTCTAAGCCTCCTTCGTGTGTTTTGCCCTCTGCTCAGGCTGGTGGATGGAGACGGTGATGGGCTGGAGTTTACATACAGTCGACCCACCATTGCAGCATCCACGGGTGGTTTGATGCCAATCCAGTCTTTGGAAATGAAGCGTGGCCCTTTGTGATGCCCTTGAGCTGCATGGGTGAAAAGCAGTGTTGGGTAAGTTACAAAAGGAATTAATTTTCAATTACCTCATTAAATCTCTAGTTAAATTACTTGTCTGAAAAGTAACTTACTCTAAAAGCCATTTCATTTCATTTTTTAATTCAAAAAGATTTGCATAAAAGTTAAAGCATGCAGTGCTTAGCCTATAATTGAGTACACCTCATTTTGAAAATGAATATTTTTATCCATTTCTCAGTGAATATAGGCAATGTATGTTGGTGCATTTAAACAAAACAGATTTTTTAAACAGATATGTTTATTAAAATTATATTTTAGTCACCAAACATATTAAAAAATTAAAAGATAATACAACAAAATTTAAGTAAAATATTGCAAAAAAAAAAATAAATTACAAAATTTAAACTAAATTTTTAAAATATTTTTTTGATTTTCTTGATTTTTCCTTTTTTTAATTTGTATTTAAGATTTTTCTTTAAAATCTAAATTTGGATGTACTAGTTTTTGGACCGTTATCATAAGTTATTTTGTTAGACAAGCTCAACATTTGGCTTCAGTACTGAATAATCTAATGTATATGCACAAAAATAATATTGTATAGTTTCCTATAAAAATATACATTTAAAAGATAGATTTGTGAGGGGTTTACTCATATATGCTGAGCACTGAAGATAATATAAAATATTATTATATTATTTAGTCTCAGTTAAACAGGACGTTTTAATGTTAAGACTTAAATTCTCAACAATATATCCAAACATTTCAAATTAACAGCATATTTTATATATACCATATTTTGACATAAATGTTTTATTTTATTGTTTTTTAAGCATGTGCCAGATATACACAATCAAACAATAATTTGCTCTAAATTTATAGCTTATACTGTCATGAACTTTTCTCTAAATTCATTTTGGTAAGCATATGCAATTGCCTTGATAAATGTTAAATGTTTTTCTTTAGTTGACAAATATAATTGTTCTGCAAAACATACAATACTCTGAATATCTGAATTGATTTATATAGAACTGCTGGATTTACAGTAAGTGCCGTATTTGAAGCAATTATATTTAAAGTAACTGTTCGTCACCTTGGAATTATAAGGTTCTATCTGCGTTCTGACTGATTTTGAGATAATGAGCTTCAAAGTTTTTGCATTCCATAGCAAACAGTATGTGTGTAACATTTGTTTATTAAATGAAAAGTCTTAAAATGTAAACATTTTATAAAAAAACATCCCATAATGTAAATAAGTTGTCGTTTAATAAGAATGTCAAAAACTTAATTTTGACAAAAAAGTCAGATAGAACCATATAATTCTAAGGTGACATGTTATTAAGTTATTTAAAAATGAAAAGATTAAGAAAAAGAAAAATTATCCTTTGCATTTTTAAGGAGAAAAGTAATTTAAGTACAGTAATCAGCTAGCTACTCATCGATGAATTTGCTCTTCAGTGTTTGGACTCTCAATAATGACTTCAAACCACACTGAACTGAGCTAAACTGAACTGAACTTAAACACTAAAAACTGAACTACCCTGATCCAGTTACTATGACCATTTTCACGAGTTCAAACTTGCATTTTTTTAAGTATAAAGCAAATTTGGCGTGCTGTCCGGGGGGAGGGCTCTGAGCTCGAGGAGACATCCCAACTCGAGTTATTCCCCTTGTCAGGAAACAAAGAGGAGTTGGGATTCGAGCGAAGTATCTAGCCCAGCCCCAGAACGCTCCCCCCGGGAATACAATGCAAGTGGTGAGGTGACGGGGTGGTGGAGGGATGCTAAAGTCGTGAGATGCTGCAGGTAAGACAGCTTTGGTATATATAGGGGTTGCTCAAGAACTGATTTGATGATGGGATAATTGTCAATAACGTATTCGATACTGAAACTTCTGCACATGCTCCTCCCGAAATTTGTTTACGAAACATCACTATGTGAAGCTGCTTTGACACAATCTACATTGTAAAAGCGCTATACAAATAAAGCTGAATTGAATTGAATTGAATAGTGTAATTAATTACATCCAACACAACATTTGACCAGTTAATGGTATTTATTTGGTCATGGAATTTAATAACAGACTTACCGCCTTGAAAGACCAGATCAAATATGTCAAAGTCACAATACAGATCTGTGTATCGTGTGAAGGCCACGGACGGTGAGGACTTGGTCATGCGGTCACATTCTTCATGGGACGGCTGATGTTTGAACTCATACTGGTAGTACTGGTCACCTGTGGATAAAAAATAATAAATGCTGAGAATATATCAATTCCATGGAAAGCCATCATTTGGACCTGTTGTGATGATTTGTGGATTAACCCATTAGAAGCCATAACCCAATATCCCTGGTATCTTACAAAAAATAAGTTCTGTGTCCAACAGAAGTTTTTTGATTCTTAAATATTTTATGATGATAATCTTTTCAAACTTGAATGCATTACAATCACAGAATTAAAATCAAAAACTTTAGTGTCTGTTCATGCTATTGATACATACAGTGCATACAGCACTAACTGAGGTGAGTGAATCTGGGGATAGATTCAACATTTAAATAATTTGGTGAAATAATACCCACACAATACAGATTATGACAAAACAAAGTGATCACTTTTAACTGATTTGTTTTTAAAAATGCATTTAATTAAAATGCTGACTCAGTTCCATGCTTTGACCTTTAAATATCTTCCCTTTTCATTTTCTATGACGTACCTTTAAAGAAATACACCTTTTCCCTCCCATGATGGCCTGGAGCCGGAATTGCAAATGCAGCATCAACATCATCGGGAATCTTCTCGAAGCCCACAGCTATGTCTCTAGGATAATCTTCATCCAAGACGTCACCATCAAAACGCCAGTACTTGTTTCCCTGTGATACAGTATGCAGTAACTCAAACTTTGTTTCACTGTAAAATTTTTGTCAATAACTCATGACTCATGTGACAGCAGGCATCTTGATGTCAAAATTACATTAAAAAACAAGTAAAAAATGTGAATCTATTTAATGCCAATTGACTGCCTGTATGTCAAAATGACATCAAATTAACATCTAACATTGGTGGCAAAAAACACATCAACAATTGATTACAGTACTGTCAGTTATTTGTCAATTTGATGTTTATGTATACTGTAGTTTATGTATATTGTAGGGATACAAAATTTAGTGTAATTTTGTACTTTGTAATTGAAGCTTTTAGATGAATAAAACTTTTCTTATTTTATAAGAATAATGGGGGTGGGGGTGATCACCAGAATGGGGAAGTCCCAGAGTAAAGTGAGAAAATACGATACACCGGTGTTTTGGAAAATGCAAAACTGTATCTGATTGGCCAGTTAAAGATTTAACCTGGGCCATCACCTGTAACGTCGGGGAGTGACACTGACAACAGAAGGTAGGATCCAAATGCAGGTTTATTCAAAGTCAGGCAAGCGATGGTTAATTCAGGTGCAAACAGATATATGTAGACAATCCAGAATCGTAATCAAACACAGGCGAGGGGTCAGACGGCAGGCGGCAAACAAGGACAAAAGGATAAACTAGGCTAAGGTCAAAACACGGAGAAACAAGACAAGGAAAACGCGTTGTAGTGTTACTTTTACAGATAACAAGACTCGGCAATGTGAATGAGTGTGTGTGCTGCTTAAATACTGTGTGTAATCAGTCTCTGAAAGTCCTCAGGTGTGAATGTAAATCAAGCTAAATGAGAAAGCAGGTGTGTGGGCGAAGAGCATGTATGAAGTTGAAGTCCATTAACTGGCAGATTTGTAGTTTCATTAGTGAGTGTTTACCAGCGACATCTGGTGGTTTGTTCACTGGTAAACATGACATCACCACACTGGTAGATCTGTCTCTGTGTAATCACAATAAGTGAGATACGAGACTTGTTTTGGAATACGGAAAAACTGACTTTATGCTGTTTTCATCTGTTTTAATATTATTTATAATTTTTTTTATACTTGTTTCTTTTATTCCTGTTTATGTAAAGCACTTTGAATTGCCACTGTGTATGAAATGTGCTACATAAACTTGCTCTGCCCATAAACATAGCCTTAGGGTCCACTCTGCTCTGATTGGCCAGATCGTGGCCCAGACTGTTGTGATTGGTTGAACAATAACACTCACTTCAGACAGATCAGAACAGCTTATTTCCTTTGCAGAATTTTTCATTTACAAATAGTATAAAAGGTAATTCCTGAAAAACACTCAAAAATGACACTTGCTGTTTGTTCAAACTACTGTGTTGAAACAACACAATTCTTAAGGTTTAAATCCTTCATGTTTTCCCAACACAAATCGATTTGTGATTTTGTACTGTGACGCATAATAGGGCACTTCAGTATTACATCATTTTAAACAAACCTTGAATATGTATGTTTTTCCCTGGCAGTTGATGCGGGTGAAAGCAGCATCAATAGGACCGTTGATGCCCCAGACATCCTTGATGAGTTTGGGATACCCAGGCATGACCGATCTGTCATCTAACTCAAAAAAATAATCGCCTGAAACACAAATCAAAAGTGGCTGGTGTGGTCAGACTGCAGCTGAAACAGCCACAATGATTACATTCCTCCTCAAAACTGACCTCTGAAGGCAAAGATTGAGCCATTCTTGAGCTGCATGAAGGCATCAAAGGTGCGTCTGCTGCAGGTGACAGCGTCCGGGTCTGGGGGAGCTGTAGGAGACACATAAGGGGCTGCTGTGGTGGTAGGGAGAGCTGTGGTGACCGTCAGATTGGTTTCTTCTGTCGGCATCACTGAAGTGGTCACATTTACCTCAGGCAAGTCAAACATGTCACCGCGAGCAACTAAGGCACAGATGAAAACATTCAGTAAGTAAAGTTTTCTCACAATCATTTATTCTCTGGTAATTAGTAAGAGATTAGAATGTGAATAAACATTCATATTTGGTTGATAAACTGAATTCAGGAGCTGCATGCATGTTAAATGTGCCATACACGGGACTAGTTCAATAAATTAAATAGAAGGTAAGGACAGTAGGTACGTGCCTTCAAAAACTCATTCACTTCACTATACTCATTGATTATGTCATAAAATAACTCTTGAATCAGAAGGTCCTTATTGACCATATTTGGAAGGGTCTTGAATATAAAATTCATGCAAAGGAAGATTAAAAACTTACAATTTCCAAAACACTGCTTTTTCTATTATAAAGCACTTCACTGTTGGCCTTGTTACAAGATGTAAAATAAGTAAAGTAATGCTAAGTAATAATATAAGTGTCAGGTCAAAATACCCATCAGATCATTTATTATGCCATGTAGAATATGTACATTTTGGGGTCAGAGGGAACTACGGCTGTTTTGCCTTTAAACCACTCAGAGTGGGTTCTCCCTGCCCACTCTCAGGAAATAGGATAACCATAGGTGGATTTCAGGATAAAAACAGCAAAATGACAGACAGCAATTCAGATACAATTAAAACAGAGACCCACAGTCACACACACACACACACACACACACACACACACACACACACACACACACACACACACACACACACACACACACACACACACACACACACACATGTTTGTGGGACATTACATAGGTTTCCATTCATTTTATACTGTCCAAACCGTATATCATATTGCCCTCACCCAACCCCACCCCTAAACCCAACCATCACAGGAGACTGTGTGCAGCTTTACTCTCTGATTAAACTCATCCTGTGGGATTTATAAGCATTTTGAGAAATGAGGACGTCACCAATGTCCTCATATTTCACCTCCTTTTTGTAATACCTGTGTCGTACCAATGTCATTATACAGATTTGTGTCCTGATATGTCACAAAAACATGTACACGCACTCACACACACACACACACACACACACACACACACACACACACACACACACACACCCGCACATACACACACACACACACACACATGTGCGTTTTTTACATATATTCCAAAGCAACTTATGAAAAAAAAATTCAATGAGGAATTTACTAAAAAGCATTAAACAAAATTAGAAAACACTTTCAGATGTTCCAATGTTATACAGTATACTATATTTAACATTTCATGCATATAAGTGGTCCTGCCACAATCAGAAATCAGCTGGACGAATTTAAAAAATAGTTAAATAGTTAAAACTATTAAGCTCCAGAGGAGCTGTAAAAAGAGTCTATTTTTCTTTAAGAGATCTGTTATGAGTATCAGCTGGAGTGCCCACAAAACCCCTGCGCACTCCAGCCATCTATTCATATCTGCTATTCATCTGGACTACAACTACCATGATGTTTCGTGCCAATCAACATCGCTACAGCTGTAAACAATCTAGACTGACACACACACACAGCTGAAGATCATTCACACAAATTTGCACTCACTATACTGTATAAGCCCTCCAGTCACTCTCTTATATTGCGAAATCTTGTTTAACTGTTCAGTGTGCAATTATAAGCGTTCTCCTTGTCTTCACAACCGTGTTTTTGTTTCTGGACTGTTTCATTTTATAGGTGAACAGCTGTAGCAGGTATTGCACTGGAGTGCTCTGTAATGAGTTCTGTGAGCACTCCAGCTAATAATTGTAAAAAGATCATTATTCAAAATAAACTCATAATCTTCCACACTATGTTGCGCCCTCACTCCTAGATGAGACATGACACATTTCCTTAACCATTTAAAGAAATCTATTTAACTGGTATTTGTTCCAATGTCACTGAAACCTTCCAACAGCAGGTTGTCCAGATGAAGGCATAGGAAGCTGCTCATCCCAAATCTGCTATTTCTAGAATATTGCATCTTTAAAATGTCACTAACTCATTCAAGTCCTCTAAAAGGGTTGGCTAAGAAACTACAGGCAATGAACCATGAAATTGTCACGGTTGCAGGTTTGTGCACTTTTCCGGAGTGTCTGTTTGATCACGTTGGTTTGTTTTTGTTCTCCTCGTGTATTTGTTTTGATCACTTGTGATGACGGCACTCAGCTGGCTTGATGAGCTCGCCAGCTGAGGCTCATATTCGGGTCTATATATGGGCCACGTTTTCTGTGTGTCTTTGTCAGTTCGTTATGTGTGCTTATGGTGTGCTGTTCTGTCTGTGTGCGTAGGATCTGAGGACTAATTTCTGGACCCTGTTTCCCGTCTGATTCCTGGCCGATCTCTCCTAGCATTAGCACCATTCATTACTTGATTTTTGTTTGACTTTGTCAATAAATATTATTTTGTTTAACTCGCACTTGGATCCCTCTGAACATTCAGTTATTCGTGACAGAAATAGACTGATGAAGAGCAATTAAATAACAGAGGAGACATCATTTATCGGTAACACTTTATTTTGATGGTTTGTTTGAGTATTAGTAAACTGTTTGCTTAATACTGCTCCTTCAACAGACATTAGAAACTGCAAATACATGTTAACTTGCGCAAACCCTAACCCCAACCTAACTGTCTACTGATAATCTGAGAATTAGTTGGCATTTAGATATATTGTAACTTAAATTCAACAAACGGACCAACAAAATAAAGTGTGACCCATTTCATTTCATTAATTTTCTTGTCGGCTTAGTCCCTTTATTAATCCGGGGTTGCCACAGCAGAATGAACCGCCAACTTATCCAGCAAGTTTTTACGCAGCGGATGCCCTTCCAGCTGCAACCCATCTCTGGGAAACATCCACAAACACATTCACACACACACTCATAAACTACGGACAATTTAGCCTACCCAATTCAATTGTACCACATGTCTTTGGACTGTGGGGGAAACCGGAGCACCCGGAGGAAACCCACGCGAACGCAGGGAGAACATGCAAACTCCACACAGAAACACCAACTGAGCCGGGGTTCCAACCAGCGACCCAGCGACGTTCTTGCTGTGAGGCGACAGCACTACCTACTGCGCCACTGCCTCGCCATGACCCATTTATTGTTTTAATATTTTAATAAGTGCATGCCAGATTATTTGTTTAATTTTACATAAATATATCTGTTATACTGAATAATGATGAAACCAAATTGTAAGCATACTTGGACATTTTATTTAAACATTAGAGCAGACATTTTTAGATATTGTGTTTTATGGATTTATTATGTTTTCCAGACTGCTTTTAAAAGCCGTCGTCTCATCTTTGACCCACTCACTATATTTTTCTTCTCCGCAACAATCTGTTGTAAACATTTATCAAAGGTTAGAAATAAATTGATATCAGGGAGGCACAGAGATAAGAGACATGTGGTTTGTGTAGAAAAACAAAGCAATCTTTTTATTCTGCATTATTTACAAAACAAGCTATCAATTTCTGCCTTTCATGAATGGTGAATTGGTACTGATATACTGTCATAATTTTCTGGTTGTTTGAAGTGTTTCTTTTTTTTTTCTTTCTTTCATTTGAATGCATTGTGTATGTGAATATAAATGTGAGACAATTTCATATCATTGTAAGACATTAGAATCAGCTTTAGCAAAACAAAACAAAAAATCATTTTCATTAATGAATACCATTAACCACAAATACATTGTTCAAGAAGGTTACATTTTTATTTTTTACAGCTGGATTATAATGGATATATGCTGTTTTTAAAGTTATTTTTTTAAGTCCATAATGCTAACATTTTCCATAGTTGAAATGAATCCTATTTGTAAACATTGTAAAACTACCCAAGCACTGCCCCTATCTGCCATTGGTCAGACAAAACAGAAAGCCCCGCCCTAAAATCACAACACTGGATGATGAAACAGTGTATTTGTGCCAGACAGTTCAAGCTGTTCACACAAACAGAGCAAAGCTTTCAGAGCACCAGTATTGTTTAACACTTTCCAGTCAAATAGATCCTTCAGTGGCGTACTTATCTGTGTCGCAAACTGAAAACTTTTATTTATAGAATATTTAATCAAGCTTAATTAAATATCTATACCCCATTATAATATTACATTTAATAATTAATTGCAGCTCATGATGCACTGGTATTTTCTTTATTTACATATCCAAAACACATAAATGGACCTTGGTTTGTGATTCAACAGCTTTTGGTGTTGAAACTTTAACTTTCAGCAAAGGTTTTAGTTATTTTAAGCAAAATATTGTGTGAGCAATTTTTCCAAATGTATTTCTATGTATTATTTATACAAAGAAATACATTTGGACAAATTGCAAACATCTGCAAGTGCTTTTTTTGTTCTGTAATTTATAAGGCGCATTAAAATGTTATGTTTTTACAGTACAGAACAATTTAATGTGTCCTTTGTGAACAAAAGATTTAGATTTTACGTATTTTATTCTTTGAAACATTTTAGGAAATAGGTATCATGGTTTTCACAGAAGCAACTGTTTTTAGAATTAATAACAAGAAGAGATATTGGTAACACTTTATAATAACTACACACTATAAATCATTTATTAAGCATTAGCAAATAGGGAATTCATTATCTGTTAAGCATTAACTCTACATTAATAAGTGTTAGTAAGCAGTTTATAACTGCAGCTACAAATGCTCCATTCTTGACTTATAAGCACCTATATAATGTGTTTAAAAATTGCAATTTCATACTTAGTTAATGATTAATTTTTCATTACTAAATTAAGTATCGAATTATTTACAAACTGTTTGTATTTAAGAGTAGCTGAGGGTTTTTATGATCATTCAGAATGAGTTAGTAAACGATTAATAAACTATTGAAATCAACATTTATATGTCTTATTATTCAGGCATATACTAATAGTTAACTAATATGTTAATAAATGCTTTATTAACTCAACTTCATGCAGTTTTGTGACCTAATCTAAAGTGAGGACTATTCATGCTTTATAAATCCTTTATAAATGACAAATAAAGGCTCAGTTAAATTCTAAACAGAAAAAAAATACATTATTTATTTCTCTTCATTTAAAGATACACAAATGAAACTGTACTTCAAATGAAAAATAAATCTTTGCAACCTTATCTAAAATAAAATCACAGTAGAGTTTAAACATTACATCTTATCAAAATGTTAAATTATTATATTGTTGTTGTTTTATCCAGTTGGATGTCATATTTTGACACTCCTGTTATTCAGCAATGTTTAAACTTTACAGTAATTTTACTTTTTAGAAAGATTGCACAGATTATCGTTCATTTGATACTGAGCCTTTATTTGTCATTTATAAAGCATTTATAAAGCATGAATAGTCCTCACTTTAGATTAGGTCACAAAACTGCATGAAGTTGAGTTAATAAAGCATTTATTAACATATTAGTTAACTATTAGTATATGCCTGAATAATAAGACATAAATATTGATTTCAATAGTTTATTAATCATTTACAACTCATTCTGAATGGTCCTGAAAACCCTCAACTACTCTTAAATACAACTGGTTTGTAAATAATGCGATACTTAATTTAGTAATAAAAAATTAATCATTAACAGAGTATGAAAATACAATTATTAAGCACATTATATAGGTGCTTATTTGTCAAGAATACAGCATTTGTAGCTGCAGTTATAAACTGCTTACTAACGTTTAGTAATGTAAAGTGAATGCTTTACAAATAATGAATGCACTATTTGCTAATGCTTAATAAATGATTTATAGTGTGTAGTTATTATAAAGTGTTACCATGTCTTCTAATACTTTAACTTCACCTTCACAGCAATAAATTATATTTTAATAGTTTTAAAGGAAAACTGTAAATAATATATTAATTGCAACTTGCATGATCTTCGTCCAAAAATGTCTTATAAATCTGTTTGCATTATTATAAGTAGCATATACTTAAATATTTTCAATGACTGAATATTAATTCGGCTCTTACTTTTTGTCCGACAAGTGGTGTCAAAATCCTCACAGCAGCTTCCATAATATTTGCACATTCGGTCACATTGGCATTTCTTTGTAGGATCAAAACCACTCCGGCAGCGTCCCTCGCATGTTTCTGTAAGAAATATGCAATATAATGTATAAATTATTAATGTGGCAGCTCAATAACCAATAAGTATCTTTCTCCTAATAATAAAGCACTTAGTGATAATCTTACCCTCCGCAGCAAAACAAGTTGCCAAAAATAGGGACAATAAAATCGCCAGTTTCATGTTTAACGGCACAGTGAGCAACGAGTGCTTGATTTGTTCTAGAAACAGCAATGTGTTGGAGCGACAGAGGACAGGTCAGACATCTGTGCCGATCGATGGTTCCAAAAGTCACCCGTCCCCCTGTTTGTTTAGCCTGAAAACATCAATGGTCACTAGAGAAGTTGTCCTGTTAGGCATGCTTGCTATGAGGCCAGCATGTTGATCTTCAGTTAGGAGAATGTAACAAAGATGTAACCAAGAAGGCCTGAATAATCAGTAAAGGCCAACATAAGTGACACTGTGTACAGCTTGAAATGTATAAATAAAGTACTGAACTGCTATTGAACTGTCTACTATTGATTTCACTGAGCAGCTCAGCTCACTGCAGTTGTAAAATGGCTGATGTTTAGTCCTTCTAAAGAGTCTTTTAATAATATGAACCCTCTTGTGCTTATAAATATCTCTTAATGCAATTCATAGAGTAAATAAATGGAAGTTTTTTATAGTGCAGCTGTACAGTTTAGATATTAGATATAAGAGTAAGATATTAATAATGTTTTTGTTGATTTATTATGAGCCATGACACAAATCAACCTACTGTACAAGGTGAATCACACGATTACTGTTGAGGTACTGTATGCCTGCTATAATTACTGTAAGAGACACCCTAATGATTTGAACTTACAGCTGCTGCAATTGTCATGCACTTCTTGTCAGGGAAGAATACTGTGATCTGAAGTAAATCTCCTCTGAAGGCCAGAGGGCGCTCTCACAGAAAACCCAAATACCCACAAAGAAGACACCTATAGGAAATCCCCATACAGTAGGATAGCGGTTGCTGACTAAACATATGATTTAACTGCTTCCATTGATTCAGCGTGACTAATAATCACAAAACGATGTAATTATCTCACATGAGGAATTATTTCAAACACTTGACTGAAGTTGTAAGGTTTTTTTAAAGTAAAAACATGTTATTATATGTGGTAATTGTCAGGACTTTCCCCACCATGTGATTCCTTTGTTCTGTTTTCCTGTCATCTACCAGTATTCATTAGTTCCACCTGTGTTCACACCCGTTTGTCATTAGTTAATAATGATTTTTGTATTTATGCTTCCTAGCAGGGATGGGCAGCAGTATTTATGATAGATGTATTTCAAATGCGTATTTCAAATACAAAAAAGTATTTTGTAATTTGTATTTTATGTGTTTTTTGAAAATAGGTTAATACTTTGTATCAAAACACTTTAGTGTCTTGTATTTTTGTATTTTTAAAATAGTGTAAAATACTTTGTAAGAAGTCTACAGGGTGACCATTAGTGGAAAGAGCACTGTAAAGTCATACTGAAGTAAAAGTACTTGCCTAAAAATGTAGTGAAAGTAGAGTAAAAGTATCTGTAGTTATGTATCTGTAACAGGCCCGGATTGGCTAATCGGGAGGCCTGGGAGAATTCCCGGTGGGCCGGTCCGTTTTTTGGCCGCGAGGGCCAGTGTCCCTAGCTCCAGAATCTGTCGCTCTCAACAATCACACTTTTTTTTAAATAATTTATTTTATTTCATTATATTTATTATATTTTCATTATTTTACCGCAGCTCTGCTCTTTTTATCTATTTTCTTGTAGCCTCGTGAGCAAGATGCAGCCTGCAGGTTAATGATGATATAACTAGATAAGTCACTATTTAATGCAAAGCTATTGTGGCACAGTGGTTAGCACGTTAGGCTATGACGAAGCCAACCCCGGGTTCGGTCCTTGTCTGAGTAACTTTTTTTTTCCCTTTTTATTGTTAAGACATATAATACTGTAAGGGTTGTTGAACATTTGAAGTTCTAAAACAGCTGTTTTCTCAAAAAAAAAAAAAAAAAAGACGTGATAGTGTAATTAGAAACTGAATTAGAAATGACCTTATTTTAATATTGTCAGTGGTGAACTGAGGTGGGCCGATCTAAGGCTTGAAACTCCAGGGCTGAAAAAGAGTCCCACTCCGGCCCTGATCTGTAAGTAGGAGTAAAAAGTAGACCTTTCAAAAGTACTCAAGAGTAGTGAGTAGTGAGTATTACGCTGTAAAAAGCTGATGTGTTTAAATCTAATTTGTGCTTGTGTGTATAAACGTAACATTCTGTAGTGCATCTAGTTATTGCCCAGCAGGCACACAACATCCTAAAACTTTAATATTTGGTTAGAAGTTGTGATGTCAGGTGATTATGTTTAATTCAATGTCTAGCCAGCGTCTAGGGACAATGTTGTTTTGATGTCCAATAACGACGTCAAATGATGTTGATATTGGGTTAATTTTAGGTTGTTAGAAAGTGACCAAAATCCAATGTCAAGCCAACATCTTAAACCAACATCATAATGACATCAAATACTGACATTTATTTGTTAGGTTTTGCAACCAAAATCCAACATCTGATAGACTTCATAGTGGTAACGTCCACACAGTCAAGCTGTAACATCATTAGACGTTGAAATTTTGGTGGTTTTAGGATGGACATTAAAATTCGCCTGACATTGAGTTCTAACTTCAACCTGACTTTCATTTCCAAACAAAATGCAACTCCCCTATGACGTTGGGGTACAACATCAGTCTAGTGTCATGTTGATGTCCTGTAAACAGCAAACATCAGTAAACATCCTTCATCTTCTGATCAGTGACATGCATCTAAACAGTCTCTGGGTCAAATGCATGCAAAGGTTTTGGACAGCTTCTTGGACACTCTTGATGCTTCCAAACAGTTTGCTGCATTTATAAAGTGCACATGTCTTGAGGTAAATCATTATGAGGCGATTTACCTTCCATGTGCGATCTGATTGGACAGGAATCACAGGACTAGTTGTTCAAATACCCATAGACAAGAAGTAGTGACTGCAGGTTGAAAGAAAGTAGTGGAGTAAATGTGCTGATATTGCTCTTAAAATGTACTCAAGGGATTCCTGAGTTGTAACACACACAAACACACAAACACACACTCAAACACTACGATCAATTTTACCCTACCCAATTCACCTGTACCACGTCTTTGGACTTGTAAGGGAAACCGGAGCACCCTCAGGAAACCCACGAGTACACGGGAAACCATCGACCTTCTTGCTGTGAGGCGAACGTGCTACCGACTGCGCCGCCACAATGTTCTCATACTAACTTGTTACTTTGATACATTTGTGACTGGTGTATTTTGTTGTTTATTTTGATACATCTAAAATTGAAGTATTTGGTCTTTTATTTTACACCCCTGCTCCCAAGTTTTGGTTATTATCATCCTGCTCATCTGTTCATTAATGTTGGTTGTTCCTGTTTCCCATGAAGATTATGTGAATAAGTTAGAACATGTTTTGATAGTGCCTGATTCCAGTGCGTTTCTGCAGAGTGCCCCTTGACAGTAATTTCGTATGCAGCATTTACTATAAAGTGTCGTAGTTCATTGAGAAGCTACCTAAACAGCTGCCATTACCACAGAACTATTGTCGCAATGTCATCATCAACTGATCAAACTGCATTAAAATATATAACTGAATTTTGTGCAACTAATTTTTCCTCATCTGAGCGCACCTGCTGGAGGTTTCCCAGAATGGGCTTTACTGCACACAAAAATGACCTTTGATTAATCTCTAAACTCTGGAGCAGGGGTGTCAAACTCAATTCCTGGAGAGCCGAAGCCCTGCACAGTTTAGTTCCAACCCTGCTCCAACACACTAACCTGTAGGTTTCAAACAAGCCTGAAGGCCTCAATTAGTTTGATCAGGTGTGTTTAATTAGGGTTGGAACTAAACTGTGCAGAGCTGCGGCCCTTTTGGAACTGAGTTTGACACCTTTGCTCTAGAGTATGTTTAATATAATCAAAACAAGTGAGCTTTGAACAAGAAGCAAACACCAACAAAGAATATCTGACGATGAACTAAACACCAATGTAAACTAACATAAAAACCAAAATACGCAGGTGAAAATTAAATGAACGTAAAAAATTAAATGTGATGAAATGATCTTGTAATGATCATGATCAAATGATCATGAAATGAACTAGGACTAAATGCCAGGGAATCAAGGACACAAATTAAGTGTGGCATTACTCTCCCTTCAACGCAGATGCGACCACACATCATAACTCACTTTACGGGAAGTCAAAGTGTTGGGAGGAGCCAGGAGCATGTGGGCATACACTCAGAGGCCAGTTAGGTGGGCAGCAATGGTGGACTTAATGACAGGAAGAGCCATGGTGGAGATGGGAGTGTCGACACCAGGACACTGACCAATGGAGCAGGATCTGATGGCAGTGGCGATTAAAGGGGCATTCATTATTTCAAATGGTGACCAGTGGCATCCCTGCTGAAAAATCCAGCTTAAACCAGCCTAGGCTGGTTGGCTGGTTTTAGCTGGTTGACCAGCCTGGTTTTAGAGGGGTTTTGGCCATTTCCAGGCTGGTTTCCAGCCATTTCCAGCCTGGTCTTAGCTGGTCAGGCTGGGAGATGACCAGCTAAAACCAGCTTGACCAGCCTAGCCAGGCTGGGAGCCCAGCCAAAACCAGCTATGTCCAGCTTAAACCAGGCTGGTCAAGCTGGTTTTAGCTGGATTTAGCTGGTCATTTTCCAGCCTGACCAGCTAAGACCAGGCTGGAAATGGCTGGAAACCAGCCTGGAAATGGCAGAAACCCCTCTAAAACCAGCCTGGTCGACCAGCTAAAACCAGCCAACCAGCCTAGGCTGGTTTAAGCTGGATTTTTCAGCAGGGTTGCACATGTAAATACAGTGTGACGCTCTTTTAGTGCGAATGTGATGTGATGCGCTTATGTTTTCCAGGCATGCTTAAACTGCAAGAAGTAGTAAAACATCTTACATTTTTTAATGCCATTTGCGCACCATGACTCAGGTACCAACAAATCAGCTTCGCACTTTGTATGGAATATAAACATTTCAGTAATAACCGTAGACTAAGTACCTCAGACAAACACAGAGCAACCCAACACTGCAGTGCTTTTCACTTTTCTCCATAAATAATACTTGTATCAGAGTATGTAGCATTAGTTTGTCAGTTGTGGATTCTCAAAGAGTGTGGTTGATAGTTGCCCAGCAATGACAGATGCCA